TGGGATTCAACCAGGGATGTTCACCCACTGAGGTATAGCCCCAGCCCTTTTTATTTATTTATTTTTATTTTGAGACAGTCTTGTTAAGTTGCTGAGAGTCTCACTGTGTTGCCTACTCTGGCCTCAAATTTGAGATTCTTTTGCCTCAGCCTCTCCAGTTGTTAGAATTACAGTCATGTACCACAGAGCCAATTCAATCATTACTTTTTAAGGGGGTATGGGGGAAGAGGTAAATCTCACATAAATTTACAAGATCATTCTGAATTCAGTCCCTATGGATTGCTGCATACATTTAATTATGTAGTAGATATGTATGGCAGATAATCACACAGAAGGGAAAAGAGAGAGGAAAGAGAAAAATACCAGAAATACAGAAGAAAAAAAAAACTGTAAGATCTACAGGTTAGGAAAAAACTAGAACCTTAAAGTGATTATACAAGGTGAAAAAAACACAAAACCATCATCAGCTACTTAATAAAACGTGAGGGTTTGAGGTAAAGCAAAGCTCAATTTGTTAACAGGAAACTATGGGCTCTGCACGTCTATTTATATAAACATTTGCTTTTTCCGTCTTGGGTTCTGCCCAGAAGTGGTTGTCTGACTTATGGCTCTACTTGACTGGTTTAAAAAAAAAAAAAAAAAAAACTGTGAAAACTGTGGCCACCTGTTCCTCTCTCCACTAGAGAAACTAAACATGTCACTTTCCCTGATGTTTGGTTAGTGAAAATGCTTAAAGATGCCAAGACATCAACTGTTTTTTGTTTTTTGTACTGGGGATTAAACCCAGAGGGACTTTTCCACTAAAGTAAATTCCCCAGCTTCCCCCTCCTTTTTTTTTTTTTATTTTTTAGAATTTTGAGAGAGTCTTCCTGAGTTGCTTAGGGCCTCACTAAATTGCTGAGGCTGGTCTTGAACTTTCAATCCTCCTGCCTTAGCCTCCCAAATTGCTGGGATTTCAGGCTGCCCCACTGCACCTGGCTCCAGGGTGTCAATTTTATTGAATTGTTGTACCTTCTTTGAGTTCACAAAACCATGAGGGTGGTCCTGCCTCTCTTCTGCTGTGTTCCTGGTGTCTTTCCATTTCATCCTATATTTGCAGATTTGAAAATTCCCACTAACTCATTTCCTGGTTCTCTTCCCCTGGTGTCAACCTATCATCGTGCTCTCAAGATTCTTTGGTCTGTTGCTCTCCATCTTCTGATCTGTCCACTGTGTTACAGTTACTTCAGTACAAAAGGAAGAGGAACCTTAGAGTTCACAAGTCGCTTGCAGCTTCCAACCAGGGGTACAGTATTTGGTTTAGCATACATCTTTTGCCACAAACACCCTAAAGTAGGGAGGAGCTTGTGGCTAGCAACATATACTGCTTGATGTCATCAAAATAAAATCTAGAGGTGGGGAAACCAGCTGGGGTTTGCACCATCTGCTTGTGAGTCAAAAGAATACTAAGAGAAAGTGTGCATAGAAAACTCTAGTGAGTAGAGTTCACACTTGAATTTCCAGAATTTGTTAATTTGAAGAGAAAGGATAATTTTCTTGACTTAAGAAGCATGAAATATGGGAAAAATTAAACTCAGAGTAGAATCAACTCAATTTTATTTTATTGATTGATTGATTGATTCTTGTGGTGTTGGGGATCAAACCAACACCATGTTGTCATGCTAGACAAGCACTCTATCACTAAGCTACATCCCCAACCCTTTTTATTTTTATTTTGAGATAAGGTTCACTTAGTTACTGGGCTCGTCTGGAGCTCATGATCCTCCTGTCTCAGTTTCCTACATAGCTGGGATTACAGGTGTGCAACCCTGTGTCCACTGTGAATCAACTCAATTTGGGAAGAGAAAGTTAAAGATGAACCTTCTGGGCAGGCAAATGAGATCTATTCAGGATACCAAGAAAGCATCCAAACTCTAATGGATGTTTTACTAAATTGTTTAATTCTAATATTAAAGATCCATTAATTTGGTTTACATAGCTGTTTTTCATTAAGACATAAATTCCAGGGCTGGGGGATATAGTTCAGTGGTAGAGCATTTGGCTAGCATGTGTAAGGCCCTGGGTTCAATCCCCAGCACCACAAAAAAAGGTGGGTAGAGAACATTAGAACAACAAGGAATGGCAAAACTTCGGAATTTACACAAAAGAGAAATGAGAGTAAGTAATGAAACTTCAACTACCAAGATTGTTGGGCCTGATAAGAGCAGAAAAGCAAAACGGGGACACATGTGGAGGAGACTAAATAAATTTGGATTTTTGGAGAACCATTGGTAAAGTTATGGAGTAAAAGATAAAACAGAGAAGAGCAGAATAAAGAAAGTTGACTAATTTGGGGACTCAGTTTTCAAAGTGGGATAAAAGTGGACAAATTCAGGTATTTTTTTCTGAACATTAAAGAGAAAAACAATAACCAAGCCAAAGACCACTTTATTCTGAGGGAAAAAAAGATTGGATAAAATTTATTGTAAAAGATTTAATTTGCAATAGACAAATACTGGGATTGAGGTGCTCACTGGTGGGAATGTCACCTATCAATTATCATGAAGTAGGAATGTCAAGTACATGAAGAGATTCTTTTCTTTTTGGTATTTTCCCAGATCCCAAATATAAACTGAACTTTTGAATGTCTTCGAATCTAAATATTAGTATTCTTAGTATTAACTATTATTTTAATTGTACAACTTTATAGGGTACAATGTGAATTTTTATACATGTATACAGTATGCAAAAGTCATATCAGAGTAGTTAACATTTCCATTTTCTTGAGCATTTAAAAATTTTTATTAACACATAATCATTGTACATATTTATGAGGTACGTGTGATATTTCAGTACATATATACAATAAGCATTGATCAAATGAGATAACTAACCTTTCCATCTCCTTATCATTATTTTGAATTTGCAGTCTGTCTCATGAAGAGATTTTGGGTTTGTTTGATTAATTGATTGTGGTGCTAAGGATTGAATCCAGGGCTTCCATTAATGTTAGGCAAGGACTACCACTGAGCTACAACTCTAGCCCTATGAAGAGATTCTTAAGATGATTTTTGTAAACTCTATGCCCAGAAGGTTTCTCTGTAGTGACTACAATATACACTTACTATGTCTGTCTGGACAAGGATACTTTAATTCTAGAGACTATGGTGGAATAGAGATTGCATACCTTGAGGTTAATACTCTTTTTTAAAAATATTTATTTATTTATTTTTCTAGTTTTTTCAGAGAACACAACATCTTTGTTTGTATGTGGTGCTGAGGCTCGAACCCGGGCTGCACGCATGCCAGGCAAGTGCGCTACCACCTGAGCCACATCCCCAGCCCCCTTGAGGTTTTTTTACACTTCTCTTCGATAAGGTGTACAAATCCCATTAAACTAAATTGTTTCTTAACAGCAAGAATCCAACCCTTATTTAGCTAGTTTTCTTGACAGTATGAAGGGAATCCAACCCCTAGCATCATATGTAACTTCTTCTCCCCTAATTCCTATTTGAATTCCATTGATTTTTCTAGAAAGTTATTTAGTTATTCAGACCCAAGGTTTCACAATATATAGTTTGTCACTTATTAGAATGGAATTTGAGGAGCCTGGAGGTATAGCTCAGTGGCAGAGCGCTTGTCTAAAAACATGCTTGGGGCCATGGGTTTAATCTCTAGCACAGGGGTAGGAGGGTAGGATTTGATTGTATTGCATTATGGACTACTGTCAATATTTAGGATAAAGCAGACATGCTTGTGAATTAGACTGCATCTAGACTTTGAAAAATATAAATAATGCATTTATGTCAGAAAATCATAGAACTAATGCCTTAGAACTAACAGAAATTCAGCCTTCTCATTTTAAAGTGAGGAAATTAGACCAGGACCTAATGAAAGAAAATGACTTATCTAAAGATTCATCCTACTCCTAGGGCCAGAACAAGAAATTGTGTTTCTTTCATTTTAAACTTTAGGTAAGCTTTCTGCCTATTAAAATTCAGATCTGACCCCAATGAGATGGCACAAGCCTGTAATCCCTGTGACTTTGGGAGACTGAGGCAGGAGGATAGCAAGTTTGAGACCAGCCTCAGCAACTTAGCAAGGTCCTCATCTACTTACAAAGACCTTGTCTCAAAATAAAGAGTTGGGTATATAGCTAAATGGCAAAGCATTCCTGGTTCAATAACTAGCACACAAAAAATTCATATATGAATGTTCTTCTTAGGCTCGAAGCCAGGATATTCTAGAATTTCCTTTTGCACAATAAGCTCTATTTTTGCACTTGGTGTTAAGGATGAAAGAAGTAGCACAACTCAAGGAAACTCAGGTCAATGGTATGGTTTCACATTAAGTTGTCTAGTTTGCTTTGTGTAAGCAAGCTAACCCCAGTACTATCACAAATGAATAAGTAAAGGAAACATTTTTTTCCAACACTACTCCTTGACTGAACAACTGGATGAAAAAATTGAATAGAGATTTATAAGTCCAAGTTCTGTAACTGGCACAACCTTCTCTTTTAACCCCAGACTCTGCACTTAGCAGAAGATAACATTTTGGGTCTTTCTGTATTGCTATTAGAATTATATATATGATTTTTGGTTCTGTTGGGAGAATCTTGAGGCTACAAAATTCTAGGACTTTCAGGACTACAAAAATTACCATGATCTTTTTCACCAAGAAGACCTGACAGGCAAAATTACGACAATCCAGGCAAAATAGTAAAAATGAGTAAAGAGGAGTATGTAAATGATGATGAGGTCTTGGAAGGAAAATAAATGAAGTTCTATGGTTAGCCAAAGTAGACAAAGATGGCTTCTTCTACCCTAAGGTCTATTTCCAACAGATCTAATAATTGAGATTATTAACATACAGGCTGGGCCTGGAGCTTAATGGTAAAGCACTTGCCCCGTATTTGAGAGGCCCTGGGTTCGATAGTCAGCATTACACACACGCGCACACACACAAATACACATGCACATACAGACAGAGATTATTATTACTATTTATTTTATTTTTTGCAGTTCTGGGAATCAAACTCGAGACCTTGGGCATGCTAAGCAAGCTCTGCCACTGAGCTACATCCCCAGTCCTTGCAAATAGATCATTAACCTAAAGTTTATTCTTTCCAGAATTGTATACAGAATGTTTGAATATAAGTCATGTTTATCTACTATGCCTATGATATTGGGAAGCAACAAAACTGCAATAATATAGGTATTGTGTTTTAAGTACTGAAAAATGAGATAAATGTTATCAGTCTTGTCAAAAATTAGGGAGTAGGGGCAAAAGCTGGATATTGCAAGGGGACAGGTTTAAGAAATTCTCATGTCTATGGGTTAGCTGACAGTGGTGTAGAAGACGAAATTCCCCCTTCCTCTCACCCACACATTCTTTCTTCTTTCTTCTTCCTTGATGATCACAGACCATTGAGTCTCTGCAAATTCACATCTTCACAGGGAGGAAGGCGGAAGTAGTTGGAGCGTCGGAGTCGCCTTGGGGGCAGACCTGCCATCTGACGGCAAAGTTCATCTAGAGGAGAAGCAGAGAGTGAGAGGAGAATTCTGGAAGATAACAAGGGCTCTTGTTTTAAGGGAAAGAAAAGGCTGTGCAATGAGATGTAGTAAAAAATGTTGAAGAGAAAAAGACCTGGTGGGTTGAAGCCTCGGCTCTGCCACTTACTGGTTATTTATCACTTACTAGAAAGTTCCTTAACTTATGAACCTCAGTATTCTTTTTGTAAAATGAGCATTAAAATACCTATCTTAAAGGCTTGTGTTAAAATGAAATAAGGTATGCAAAGTACCCAGCACTCCAGTAAATGTTAGTTTCCTTTATATACCCAGCTCCCAATTCTAGTCATGGATCGAGTAAGTAGGAAAATGAGGTCCAATCATTCATTCCACTTTTAGGTGTTTACTATGTGCAAATAGCTAACTTTAGTTACTCCCCTGAGATACTTGAAAGTGCCTAGAGTCCCAAATACTCATCCTCAATCTCAAGGTGCTTCCCTTGCAGGTGGCTTGCACAAAGCCATTGGGGGCAAGCAGCAAGTTTCCTTCAGCGAAGTTAACTACAGCTCTTACTCAAGAACTCAGTGCAGAGCAGGCTGCTGAGTCAGAAGTGCTGTGTCTGTGGTGTTGTCACCAACCACAGCCATCATTTGGGGCTGTCCATGGGGAAGGTGAGAAGTATGTTTACTCTCACCAAGCATGGTTTAAACCCACACATTTAGGACCCTTGTAAAATTGTTTTTATAACATCTTTCTGCCTTCCTCTACTTCTTAAAATTCTCGATAAGCAATGTAAATGGTTCCTGGAATTGGTGAACTGTTTATAAGATAGCCAATTTCTTAATGTTCCTTTTTCTGGGGGGTACTAGGGATTGGACACAGTGATGCTTAACCACTGAACCACACCTCCAGTCCTTTCTTTCTTTCTTTCTTTCTTTCTTTCTTTCTTTCTTTCTTTCTTTCTTTCTTTCTTTCTTTCTTTATATTTTTTGGTGCCAGGGATTGAACTCAGGGGCATTTGAACTCAGGAGCACTTGACCACTGAGCCACATCACCAGTCCTATTTTGTATTTTATTTAGAGACAAGGTCTGAGTTGCTTAGCACCTTGCTTTTTGATGAAGCTGGCTTTGAACTCATAATTCTTCTGTCTCAGCCTTCCAAGACACTGGGATTACAGGTGAGTGCCACCACTTCCAGCCCTTTTTATTTTTTGAGACAGGCTTTCACTAAGTTGCTGAGACTGGCTTTGAACTTTCAATCCTCCTGCCTCAGCCTCCCCAGCTGCTGGAATCACAGATGTGCACCATCATGCTATCTGTTTTATATACCCTATCCAAACCTTACTGTCTCCACATTAGTGTGTGTGTATGTGTGTATGTGTGTTTTCCTTAAAGAGCTATGAACTTGGCCATTGACTATATGAGCATATTATCTGTGATTGCTGAATTGGCCCTTTCGCTAGAACCCCAGCAGTTGACCTTTAAAACAGAGCTTTAAAAAACTGTCTATATAAGAGAAACTAGGGGGACTGCCATTTAGATGGGAAAGGATCTAGGGGTACTTTTGTAGGTCTGTATTTGTATTAAGCACACTGCTTTACTTAGATTGTTTATTTGGGGAAACTTCTATTAGGGGCTGAAAAAAGCTAAAGCCTAGGGCCAGAGTCCTCCTCCAAACCAATTCTTGGATCTTGGATCATGATCCTACTTACCTCTCTCATAATCATTCGTCCCCATTAAACATCCAGATGTCAACTTACCTTTCATAACTTCATGTTCCTTACAAACAAGACGGGAGCAGATCTCATTGTTGATGATGTACATACGTCGTAAACTGCAGCATCCAGTATCATGGTCAAGGAAAGAGATAGAAAAAAGTCTTGAGGGGAAGAACTAACTTTGGCCTAGGCTGCTCTTCAACTCTGTAGTTCCCACTTTCCCCTATCTAGCTTCCCTCATCTACATCTCCTTAGGTATTTCAGATGACTGTTTTTTTTTTTTTACCCCTCAGAAGAATGCAGGTAATGGAATGATATTAATGTTCTTTCTTTCCTCCTACTTTACTTTTCTTTCCCGTACTGGGAATTGAATCCAGGGGTACTCCAACACTGAGCTACATCCCCACTTCTTTTTAATTTTTACTTTGAGACAGGGTCTGGCTAAGTTGCCAGACCTGAACTTGGAATGATCCTGATCCAGCCTCCCCAGTAGCTGTGATGACAGGCACCACTGCAACAGGCTAATTCCTCTTCCTACCGACACTTTCCACCTAGAGTCAAGTCCACTGCTCCTTTCCATTTTCTACCTTCATATCTAAGTCTTTTGCTTTAGCATCTTTCAATCAGGTAATAAATCCAACATGCCAGTGTTTCCTTTATGACCCTCTTTTTCTTCATCTTTCATTTTCACTTATCTTCTAACATCTATTAGTCGGCCTGTCCTTGTATACCTCAACCCAGAGGTACAGCCAGCACCTTCAGGAATAGCTAGAAGAGTTATGCTAAAAACACCTGCCCCATCAAATGATGCAATTACTTAGTGAGTGCTTATTAAATAGTTACTGACACAAAAAGACTACCATGGAAGCTGCTGTCTGGGCATTCTGGGTTCCTTTACCTGGTGAAGCAGACCTGATGAACGCATTGCTTGACTGGTCGATGGACAGAGTAGAGTCTTGTACAAGCAAATTTCTCATCCCGGCACTCTGAAGAGATCCAACACACACAAAAAATAGGGAGGTCCAAATAGAAGTAGTATAAATGAAGGATTAAAGAGCTGAGGAAGAATATAGAATAGGGAAAAAATACAGAGTAGTTTCTATAGAGGATCATTATAAATCGGGGGCTGTCCTTCCAACTTACCAAAAGCAGAGCAAAAGGAAACTGACTAAAATGAAATGTAGGTGCTTCCCTACCTCAAAGAAGAGGTGGATAAAATAATTTCTGAGAACTATTCTAAGAAAAAATGTCTTTTTCTAGCCCTCTAATTTAATAAGTGGTCCATACAAAAATAGAGAAATAAAATCCTCTAAGGGAAAGTTTTTATAAAAAGAAGACTTTTTAGGATTATCTATGTAGCAATATGAAATATTAAACTGAAATGTTGATGATCTCATTCTGAAGAATGAGAATTCTTAATTCAAGAATTAAAGTCATTATATCTCTGTTCTAGCTGATTTCAACCCTAGTTGTAGAAAAGACTTATTAAGAAATTAGGGAAAGCACTTTTCTTTTTTGCACTACTGGGGCTCAAACCCAGGGCTTCATGCTAGGCAAGTGCTCTACCACTGAGTTACGTGCCCCCCTTTTTTAACATTTTTAAAAATTTTAGACAAGATCTCCCTAAATTTCCAAGGCTGGCCTTAAACTGTGATCCTCCTACTCTGCCTCCCAAGTCCCTGGGATTTTCGGCAAGCACAGCTAGGCCCATCTACGGAAAGCAATTTTAACCATGATGTCTATGGTAAATTGACAAATTGACTTTATTTCCCAATGCATTAATCACCAAGTAAAGTCCAAAGGTAATGTACAGAAAGAGTGGTTTTGGGACCATTCAACAGCAATCTCTTCTTTGTGACTTTTAGGACAGGAATCCATTTTGAAAATAAGTACATAAAAGCTGAGTTAATAAAGAGGGTGGGGAGTGAAGAGCACGAAAAATATTCTTTGAGGAAGAATTGGAATTAAGCAAGTACTTGTACTCTCCAAAAAATAAGAAAGAAAGGAATCCATAGAAAGAAAAAGAGCTTCAGAAAAAAATAAAAAATATGCAAGAAATGATCATACCTGTGGTGGTATTTTTATCACTGGGCGAGGCTGGAAGGCAGAAACTTTATTTAGTTATTACCATTTCTAGAAGTCAGGACTTCTGTAACTGTCATGCTGCCTCTCTTGGAACCCACTTGGAATACTCATAAATAGGAAACAAATGAGTTAATAAATATTTTTTCCCTCCCTGGTACTGGGTTTGGAACCCAGGGGCACTCTACCACTGAGCTACATATCCTGCACTTTTAAAATTGTTCTTTGAGGGTATATAGCTCAGTTGGTAGAGTGCTGACCTTGCATGCATAAGGCCCTGGGTTTGATCCCCAACACCACAAACAAACAAACAAATTATACTTTGAGACAGGGTGTGGCTGAATTGCCCAGCATGGCCTCCAACTTGAGATTCTCCTGCTTAATCCTTCCACTATTGGGATCACAGGTGTGTGTCACTTCATCCACAAGTTAATAACTCTTAGCAACTTCTGAAAGAAAACCCCTATTGGACTGCTTTGATCCACATGATGGAAGAGATTTAGGAAATAAATTGAAATTATGCCTTTCCCCTTTCTCTTCTGGAGAGTTGAGAATTTCATTTTATATATATATATATATATATATATATATATATATTTTCACACACACACACATACACACACATATATATATACACTA